TACTTCTTTTTACTTCTCGGTTCGCTCAGCTGTGCCGATGCCAGGCCCATCCCAGTCATCATCATCTGACACAGTCTACGAGAATGGGAGATCAGAGACACATCAGCTTGTCACCGGAGCAGTTGATAAATTGGCAGCTGATACATATATGTTCAAAGCTCATGATTTGAGAGTCTCATGACCTGCTCTGCATATCCACAGAAACAGCTCCAAATTGTATCTCCTGACTCATCAATTCACACTCATCTGCTTGAATATACAATCAATAGGCAGTCCAACATATCACTCAAATCCCCCCCATTCAAAACATATAGATGATAACAAACAAAGTATCTAATGATGAAATAGAACATTCCAAAATAAATATGAGGTCATAGCTGATTTGAGCAATACAATCAAGACACATGTCCTTTGCTTCCCTTTTACAATCTTAGCATTGGTTCCATATCACCATTCTTTTAGGCTCCATGGTGACATATGATCAATACATATAATCCTACTAGGCTTGGCATATTTGTTGGAATTTTGTCTCTCTCTCTCCTCATCCCTAAAAATCCTGTTCTGTTTAGTCTTTTAATTAGGGTCTTAGTCAAACGACTCCCAAATATTGGATTTCCGACTCCCAAATATTTGGGACGTTGCTAAGACCCCCTGCGGACGGTCCGCAGGCCGTCCACCCCCGGAGATGGGAGTCGGACCTCCCAAACCTTGAACAGGTTTGGGAGAGAGGGATTCCTCTCGGCCGGTGAGAGTATACACTCTCAGCGGGCAGGAGGAATCGCTCTCTGCCGGAGAGAGTATACACTCTCAACGGCGGATAGGGATTCCTCTCCGCCGCTGAGAGTCCGGCGCCGACTCGCAACCTCTCTGGGATAGTCATTTGCTCGAGTCACATATTCCAGAGTTTGTTGATTTTTGTTATTCATTTTATTCTCACAACCACATGTTTGGCCTCTTGCATGAAGACTATGTAACACGTAGTCTCCTCTAAGTAAAAAACACATTGGCTCTCTCCCTCTTTTTTTGAACCTTGAGCCATTCCATCAAAAACTAATTTTTGTTGCCCAAAAATTCTCCCCGTCTTTGGTAATTTTTTTTTCAATATTTTTAACCAATTCCAAGGTGTTGAACATGCAAATAAAACAACTACATATATCATATTGACCCAATTATCATAATGATGAAACTGAAGAAATTTCTGATGAGTGAAGAAATTTTTACCAAAGACGGGGAGAATTTTTGGGCAACAAAAAATTAGTTATTGATGGAAAGGCTCAAGGGTCAAAAAAAGAGGGAGAGAGCCAATGGTGTTTTACTTAGAGGAGACTAGGTGTTAAGTAGTCTACATACAAGAGGTTAAACATGTGGGTGAGAAGAAAAATGAATATTGAAATGAATAACAATTTGACACATGCATGAAAAGATGACAGGAGCAAATAATCATTGATAAAGACTAGACCCGGGTTTGAAGACTATAGGGATTGCAGCACTAGACAATGAAAAAGGTGCCACTCAGACACTTACAAGACACAGTAAAATTAATAATTTTCATCTAAATATCATTAAAACAGAAAGGTGTAATAGAAGGATTTTTTAGGGATGAGAAGAAAGAGACAAAATTCCAACAATGAGGGGAGGGAGATTTTTTTCTGAACAGACTGGGTGCTGCAAACTTTTTTTGGTCAAACTCAAGGGTGGCGGTTTGGAAGATAAGAGGAGAACAAATGATGTTTTTTCTTAGAAGAGACTAGGCCTTAAGGAGTCTACATACAAGAGGTAAATAACATGTGGGTAAGAAAAATTGAAGATAAGAATAAATAACAGATTTAGCATATGCTTGAAAAGATGAGTGGAGCAAATGACCATTCATAAAGATTAGACCAGGGTTCCAAGACTCCAAGGATTTCAGCACTAGACAAAATACCACACAGACACTAACAAAAACACAGTAAACTGATGCATATCACTTTATATAGAGATTGTTGATTGAATGGTGAGTTAGATGAGTTTTTTGGGAAGGAGAAGCAAACACTCAAAATTCCTTTAGAAACACTCAGCAGCTTATATAACCCCATCACAAGCATTCTACAATATCACACCTTGGTATTCATCCTGTTGGCAGCAAGGAAGGGAGACGCAACATTCTTGAGCAGTGTGACTGATTTTTCTCTATGTGTACTTCATGAACCCTTCTTGTGCATCACATCCTGAGCGGAACTCTCCAGGTTCTTGGTGTCCTTGCATCGCTGGGCCAATCATATCGTGTTCAAGGATCAAGATGGTTATATATCTGTTAATTTGCACCAGGATTCAGATCACAATCATTTAAATCCTTAGTACATTCATCCATTCCTGTTTTTTTGCAAAGACTCGATTTATCTCACATGGGTTGTTTGTTGTGTGTGTGTTTCTTCCAAGGCATGTGAAATAGGAGCTGTGTGAATGAAGGAAATCTGCCAGTTATTTGGTGCATGTGATTGGAACGTGAAGTGTGAGGGATCCAAGCCAGAGTGTGTGAGTGCTTCAGAGGAGCCCCGGTATCTGTGTTGTCCACATTAAGTACTGCGGCGGCCACCAATGGCACAGGCAGAGCAAGTCTTGCTCATCACCAATGGTATTGGAAAAAGACACTGTCATCATTTGAGTAAATTCATGATCATTTAATTCTGTCTTCCCAAGATTCACATTTCAATCTGTACAAAACATACATACAACAAAGATGATCACACAGAGATATATATATAAGAGTTTGAATGAATGAACAAAAGTACTGCATTAGATATAGCAAGTTTTGTTTTTTGATTTGAATATTCTTACAAGGGACAGAGACCGGAGACCACTAGAAAGAAGAGGTTCTAGGTTGAGGGTGTTTTGAAATCTGATAAACGATGTTAGATCAAGAGTGGGGAGTCTAGACAACTGATGCCGATAGCCACGCCGCCCTCGCCAGATTGGGAATCTTTGGTCCGAAGGATGTGGCCGGCTTGGAAGTTGAACAAGAGTTTCTTGAGCCCTGGAGTGCTTTGCTTTATTTGAGCGGAGGTTTTGAGGCGCTTTCTGGCCAACAAGGCGAAGCCGTAGATGCCCAATTCGGATATGATTTCGGTGGAGGGGAGGGAGTTGTGATGATGAGGGTGAGTGGAAGTGGAATCGATGGTGGTATGGGGCGAGGATCGGACCAAGTAGTTGAACACTTTCGGGGGCGTTTTGATCAAGCTCATCAGGATGTAACTCTTCCTTGCCTCCGCGGGAAGCTGGCCCACAACGGCCGGGATGGCGAGACCGTAGATGTTATTTCCGCCGCCCTCGCGCTGCGGTTTGAGGACGAAGTGGCGGGCTTGGGCCGGGTTGCTTGCGATCTGGAGCCCGGCCGGGTCGTCCAGCGAATACATCGCCGTCCAGCTCGACCGCACTTCCTCCCATCCCTCTGGCTCGATATGTGCCCTTAATACCTCCCGATGGGTCTCCAAGAACTGCGGCACCGTCAGGATCTGTTGGAACTTTTTACAGCCCGCTAGTTGGATCGACAGGCTGGGACAATTGATCGCTCGCGATCGTTCGAGCTGGTATCTGCCCATCCAATCATCCTCACTCACGAAATCCTCAGGACCATACATCGAACGATAATACACCACCGATACTTCCCTCTTCATGTCCCCGCCCACATAGAACATCTTCTTGGTCACCGGGTCTACTGTCGTTAACTTGAGAACCTCGTGACAAGATAGCCTGATCATCCGGATGGAATCTGGTTCGGAATCTAGTTGGAATTCGATTAAGGATTGATCAAAGATATTGTTTTCGTTTGGCTTGACGATCATGAGCATTACTGGCGGATTATCCGGGCATTCTACGGCTATGTAGTGTTGATGGGCCATTCGAAGTGCCTTGCATATTGATTGAAGGGCTTGATTGGGAGATTCGGGCAGTTGTGATCGGTTGAAGATGGTTGTGAGACCAGCGAGATAGCTGTACAGGACAGCTAAGAGACGATCAGGACTGAATTATAGATAGATCCAGTCGACTAGATTGATCTGGAGCAGGGCACCATCATGGCCCACAAAGCTTACCGATGTAATCCCGAGACTTTTGAGGCCAGACTACCGAAACTAACGCTGACCGTATTGAACTCTACTTGCTTGATGGCCAGAGGCTGGTTGGGTTCTGATTGATGAAGCAGAAAGTCGTTCCGAAAGATCCCCAGGGAGAAGTGCTCGTCCACCTCATCCTCCGCCTCTTCCTGCTCAAGCGCCTCCCACAGCTCGTAGAGTCGTCCAACAAATGGATCTACTTTGGAGATCGATTGTCCTAGTACTTCTCGGATCAATTCGGGACTTGAAGCGATGTTCATATAGAGTTGATTGTAGGCCGTCTGGATCCTAGGTTTTTTGGTTTTATGGGAAGAAGAATTTTAATCAGAATTTTTTTTTGGATGTCCTTCCTAACCGGTTTGGTAATGAGTTTTGAAAATGGTTTACTAACCTTTCGGCCTTTTCGAATTGATCTCGTGGAAAGGGAGAGGGGAGTAAGGTGAATGGTACGTGGGATCCATGGACACCCGTTGGAGAGGGGAGCTTGAATATTAGCGAGTTTGCGAGGGCGTAGGTAGCACCGGCTTGTTGCAGTTCATCGAGGTGGCTAGGGGAGAGCGTTGGTGGCCAGGCTGGGAGTTGACAAGTCGACATGGATCGATGAATGTTTGCTTGAGGGTGGAGAGAGGACTGAAGGAGTATACTAGTATGTATCTGCAGGCTGTCTGAAAATGGAGAAGTTCGGCACCCGCGCCCTTCAGACGCGGCGGCGGCCCGCTGGAGGCCAACAAACATGGAGAAAGTCGTGTGTGACCCAGAATCCAACAATCTTGAAAGGATCCCCATCTCCATCTCATTTGTATCTGATGTCTAATCTCGGAACTTTGTGAACAGTTTCGAGCAGGACATCCGCTTTCCCCAAGAAAACAAGCCAGCCAATCTACATAGATATCCCGTTATTTTACCAAGCATGGTAGGACTTGTTTGTTCATCCTACTGCTGGACAGCAGTTTTTCCTCAGAAGCATTGCTACTACATCTCAGGCCCTCAGGCGCAACGACAGGCCGGCATGAGAACTGATGAGCCGATCCGATCGAAACTCGGAACGTCAGGTTCAGAGAGCCTGCCCAATTTGTCCCCAACATAAATAGCTCATGATCGTATGATGCCGCAACTCCGGGGCTCGGGACGTCTCCCGATCCCAGCGCAGCCATCCATCCCTGTT